TAATCAAACATGGACCATACAAGGGAATACTATTAGTAATTCTTCCGACCCCTATGTTATGCAGTCAAGCCCAAGCCGCGCTGTCGAGTAGCTCATGCAGGGCGTTTGAACTAGATCCTCGACACTGAAACCTTTTTGGCAACAGGCCTCTCAGAAACTGAAACCTGAAGCCTAAACCCTAAAGTTCGTTTCAAGGCTTCAAGTCAAGGGTCCCAGATGGGCATGAAAACCGAGTGCCTCAGAGGTCTTGGGGCACGGCGTGCTCCCTATGCGCAGTGAGGTTCATGACCGATGCTGCCTGGGAAGGACTTGGCCTTTCTGCTGGGTCGGGAATGCGGTTTAGGGCTTGACTAAGGCCCGCATGCAACAGAAATATCTGGAACTCTCTTCTTCCAATTGGACGGTGCAGTCTGGAACAACTTGGCATTCAAGCCCCTTTCCTTCAAGGCAGTACGCTGGCCATCTGCCGCACATGTCAATGCCCTAAACCCTAAACCCTAAACCCTAAACCCTAAACCCTAAACATCCCCTAAACCCTAAACCCTAAACCCCAAGCGGCCCACCCCAGAAGATGAATGACCAACAAGGGCCCGGTAAACAAATAGCCCTTGAATTGATGACAGCACAAGTCCCAGCCGGTCTGCCGACGGCTGCGGCAGTTTGGCATCGTTCTCTAACTCCGAGCCGGAGTCATCCTTGCGGTAGGGTTTAGGGTTTAGGTTTTAGGTTTTAAGGTTTAGGGTTTAGGTTTCAGGGTTCGCTCCTGGCATTTCCGGCTCACATTCGGGCTTAGAAATAGGACCCTGTCCTCACCCTGGCTGCTGTCGCAGGCTTCCGGCTCGCTGAAGGACATGCCCTCAATTTGGATTTTGGGTGCAAGGCTTCGGGTTCAGGGCTTAGGGGCCTTTACAGTAGGGTTGACCCCTGAAGTTGGATTTTGGGTGCCTTTAGGGTTCAGGGAGTTGGGTTTAGGAACTCAGCTTCAAGCCCATGAGACTTGCGGAGCCTTCAGGCTGCAGTGGCTTATAATGGGCCGGATTTTTGGGCTTTAAGCCCGCGGACTCCAACGTCGCCAAGTGCCCAAGTTTCAGCTGCACGAGGCATGGGCAAAATAACCTTCCTCATGCAAAGCCAACTTAGAGAGCCAAGCAACCCAGGACGTGAAGCCAAAGAGACCCCCGAGATTCGCACCAGAATCCTACAAGTCTGCCCCAACGCAATCAAGGAACTGAGGACTTATGTCGAGACCCCTAAACCCTAAACCCTAAACCCTAAACCCTAAACCCTAAACCCTAAACCCTAAACCCTAAACCCTAAACCCTAAACCCTAAACCCTAAACCCTAAACCCTAAACCCTAAACCCTAAACCCTACCTTCGGGGGCCTCGCGAAGAGCCCGGATGGGCTCCCAGGCGGAAAAGCCGGGAGGCTTGGGCAGAAGCAGCTGACGTCTTGAGCATTTAAGGAGTTGGGGTTGGGATGTTCCCCCCTTATGCTAACAGTCCTTCATCGGGGTTGCTATAATCCCTGTAAGAACTGCTAGTGGGAGAACATCTCAAGGTTAGGGGGCTGTTGTAGCTTGACGCTATTTGTTTCAGTTTACAATTGGAACGCCGCATGCCTCATGAGGAAACATGTGCTGTCGAGGCCTGCTCAGACATGGTGTCCAGTCCTGTGATGTCTGTACAGTAACTTCTGGTGCGCACTTTGCGTTCTCCGCTTCGTACATTTCTCGATTTGTGCATGCTGTCCTTGCGCAGGGTGGTCCCCATGCTTATCTCCACTCAGGGTTCTCTCTGTTTAGGCCGGACGACCTCCAAACCCTCCCTGGCTCTTGAATACACCTGCACTGGAGATGCGGGCGCCGATCTAGATGACAGGTCCTTTGCTACCTACATTATACGACTCATACTAAGTGGAAGTAGAGCAGAAGGCCACGATGCAGGCAAGCCCTTTTGGGGCTGTTCTGCTTGAAGGCATCGCCCAACACCCTGGATCGAGGCTCCCCACATCCTTCTGCCGGAGATCCTGTGACGGAGGAGCAACCACTGAACCCAAAACCCCAAACTCTAGAACCCCTTGAGCCCTGAAACCATTTTCGCAACCCAGTAGACCCAGAAAAGCCAAACTCCAAAGTGTTGAAGGGCCCTCCTAAACCCTCAGACCCCTGACCCACAAGCTTCCGCCTTAATAGTTCTCAATATTAACATAGCCACATACTGTATATGGCTCCTAACGAACAGAACTGCATGGAACTTCAGAATTTGCATCATGCGTCAACGCCCCTACACGAGCTCTTGCTCCTGCTCAGTGGTGAGCTCCAAGCTCTTCGCCTCCTGCACGGGCATTTGGCCGGGCAACAGAAGGCCCCAAAGAGTAGGATCCCCTGTTAAGAAGGACCCCAATAAGGTACCCCTAATATCGTAACCCCCCATATCTCGGGTAAAGCGGACCGAAGTCTGTTGCGCTGAAGATGAGGCTTGTACTATGAAAGAAACATCTGGAGGCTGTTAGGGCATGATCTTGGTGACCTTATTTAGGCAATTTAGGCTCCGGTGCTAGGGCGGGTGAGGGGGAGTGGGGGTGCGGGCCTGGGCAACTCGTCGACCCCGATGCGGTGGACTGTGAACTCTAGGCATAAATCGGACATGCATGTCCGCTGTCTTTGGTTCAAGGTTTTGGGTTTAGGATTTGTGGAACACAAGAAGTCGGGTCTTACTCTGCGTCTACAACCTTGTACCCCTACCCTGAAGCTCCGAGCATTTCTGAGCGTGCACCCCCTGCAGGTTCGACGGTTTGGGCAAAGAGTTTGTGGTCCAAGGTGTAGAGTTTTAACCCCTCGGTTCACCTCGTAAAGGCTCAGGGAGCCGGATCTCCGGTTTTGGAGATGCAGCAAAGTGCACCCTGTAATTTAAACTCTTTCTGGGATCCTTCTTGCCCTTAACCTCAGAGTATGCCGGCACCAGCACCTGCGGCCCGAAAATATTCAGCCCCCAGGGTGCAATCAGTGCCGTCGACCGCGTGCTGGGGCAACGGCCAGTTGCGTTCGGAGATCCTCACAGAGGCTGCTTGAGGGTTCGCAGGCAGAATGTGCTGCCTTTCAAATGGGTTCTGCTGCAAAAGAAAGGTCATAATCATAATCATAAACAAGTAGTAATAATAGGAATACAAGTACTATAATCTAGCAATCATAAAAAAAGTAGTAATAATAGGAAAACAAGTACTATAATCGCAATCATGCAAATAGTAATTAGTAACACTAGGGGCTTTCAGCTCGAAGGCCCGGCATGGCCTGAGAAAGATCTCTCAATCGGGCTTGGCTTCGTTTCGGCTGCACCGCAGAGAAGGGGAAAAGGAGGGGGTTGCAAGGGCCGAAGGATGCTTTTGGGTTTAGGGTTTAGGGGTTTAGGGTTTTAGGGTTTAGGGTTTAGGGTTTGGGGTTTGGGGTTTGGGGTTTGGGGTTTGGGGTTTGGGGTTTGGGGTTTGGGGTTTCAGGTTTCAAGGACCCCCACATTGGGCCAAACGCTCGCAAAGCGCCGCGGCTCGTGTTCGGGAAACGGTAAGGGAGCCCTCTTTGCAGATGGGCACCCTTGGTTGCAAACCCTACTTGGAGGTCCATGGGTAGTTCTAAGTGGTTATAAGTAGGGTCAGGGTAACCATAGCTGGTTCTAACCCCCTATTTTGGGTACTTAAGCCTACTTGTACCTACCCATGACCCTTCAACTACAAACTCTGAAACCCTAAACCCGTTGCTAGCACAGGCCCCAGCGTTGCCCTCGCTGTTTTGTGAGCGTGTTGTGGCTTTGGCCTTCGTTTTGTGATTCGGCCTGTACTTCATTGCTTCCGCGGCGTTCAGGACTACACCTGAGGGGTTATCCTACTGCTCGACCTCTGCAAGTGCTTACGAGCACCACACGACGAAGGACATGATGCATGTAGGCGGTGGATTGGTGAATCTTGGTTCCTCGGTGAATCGGACTTCCTCACATGAGCCTGCGAAGGTTAAACAACCCTGAATCCACGATCTCCCGCCTCCTCAGTGTCCCCAAGGAGCCTCGCAAAATCGTCTTGCTCCGACTTCCTGGGCATGTGCTCCCTGCTTTCGTACTATGGGGGGTCGGAGTTCCGAGGTTTTGAGGGCATCGAGGGGTACAGAGTGTACAGTCCACATCACATAGGTTGCTTGATTCACTTATGTGCATGTCTTTAATGGCTTTCCTGCTCGTGCCTGTATTTACTATACCCAGACAATGATCACGCATGCTTTCCGCACCAGCTCTTCGCCGGACCTACTTGTCCCAAGGGGACATTCCCAAGCCCCGCTTGGAGGTTCATGGTACTTATAACCCAATTCAAAATATTCAAACCGGACTTGTAACCCATTTATAAGCTCCTTAAGTGCCCTGATATGGTGATGATCGGGTTATCAGTACAGTTAGAATTGGGTTCATAAGCACCATGAGCCCCTAAACAACCCAACAAACCCTTTGCCCTGATCCCCCTCTACTCGTCATCCTCCATTGCGCGCGCACACACACACACACACGGACACACACGGGCGGACGGACGCCCATCATGTGGGAAGTTGCAACTGCAGACTCGGTGAAAGGCATGGTATGGCTAGCGGGGCCCTCCTTTTTTTTTCTCCACGCAGGGAGATGCCAACCCAACAGCAGCAGCCGAAGGGTGGGCAGGTACCGCGCTTCGCGCCGAAGCAGCAGCTGTGCCAAGCCATCTACGGAGTGCCCTTTCGCACGTGACATCGCAAAATGTCAAAATTGTACACTGTTCCATCGCCATCAAAACTCCTATTTTGGGCTGTTCGTTCGACTACGGATTCTGGGGGCCCCCAAGAGCCCCAGAGGTTTTCGCAGGAGACTGCGCACGGCGGGCCTTAAGGTTTTGCCAGCCCGAACACCTTAAACCGTAAACCCAGAATCCGCCCAGAAATCTCGGGTAAACCGAACAACACCCTCTCGCCGTCTAGCTCTTGGAGGCTACTCAGAGCTCCTCCTTCTTGACCTTGGAGTGCGGACATGGGGTCTGTGGCATGGTTTGCGTGAACTTGCAGTGAGCTTGAAAAAACTAGCCAACTGAGCCCTAGAACCACTGTAACCACAAGCCCCCACCCGTAAACCCTAAACCCCAACCGTGAACCCTGAACCCTAAACCCTAAACCGCTTTTGTTGCAGGCCCTTGGATGGCTTGATTCCTGGCCCGCAGCGGCCACAAAGCCTTGCAGCTTAACTTGAATCGCCCCTTGAATAAGAAGAGGGGAGCGACCCTTAAGCCAAAAGAGTCTATAGCCCTGGAAATACACCGTTCAAGGAGAGCACGAGAACCCGCGGCGGCTTTCTTGTGATGAAGGTTTGAAAGCCTGACATGCGCCATCAGGTGGCTCAACGGAGACGCAACCTCCCTCCTCTTTCAAGAAAAGGGTGGGGTGTGTAAAGAGGGACCTCCTCACAAGACACATTGAAGACATCTTCCACCAAGAGTATTGGGCGTGAGCGAGGTCGCGAGTGTCCAGCGTCCCACGAGGGTATCTCTGACCAGATGTAGGTTCGTAAACATTGCAGGGGGCCGTTGTCTGATGTGCCGAAACCGCTGCTTTGTAAGCCGATGATGCACGTGGTGTGAGCTCAGCATAGACAGAAAGAGTATCAGGTTTGGGTTGGGTTGGAGGTTGCAAGTTGTTTGAGACAGGCGCGGTGAGGGACCGCAAAGGGAGATGTCTCGGTGGGGCAGGGGGTGCTGAACCGGCTTCTTGGTTAGATCCCAAGCCTGTAGTGTAAGCCTCCGGCTTCAGATCGTCGATGTGTGTATGTGTGTGTGTGAGGGTCGGGCCTCCTATCCAGAACGCTGAGAAGGAATAAAATTCAGTCGGAGACAGTTGGAGATAACACCAGACATGACGAGCCGTTTGCTTGCCCCCCCCCCCCAACCAGCTATTGTGTTCCCAATCTGCAGAGAAGGCCCGCGTCTCGTTCGTTGACGTGGACCGTGTGTCAACGGTAAGCTAAACCCTAAACCCTAAACCCTAAGCCCTAAGCCCTAAACCCTAAACCCTAAACCTTTCGGCATCATCTTGTGGAGAAGTGTTGGTCATGTTGGATTTACACGGGGTCGACACTTATGGTGTTGTGGTACATGCCGTTGTGTACTTTGGCAGTTTGGCCAGCAGCTTCAAGATGCTGCCAATTCTTGCAGAGTAGCATCCAAACAAGAATGGAAGATGTGGCCACAGAAGCAAAATGGCCGTCAGCACTGAAACAGCACTTTGGCATTCGATTGGTGGTTCCAGATCACCCTAAGCCAAGAACCCCAAACCCTCATGCGAGGACATGCCCCACACAACCCGTCGTGTTTGTGCCAGTGTTCTGTTCGGAGTCGGCTTCCTCGTCTGGTGAGGAGGTGTGCACCCGACCCCTAAACCCGAAGCCACCCAGGTTGCAGAAGACCATAGTAAGGAACTCTATAGCTCCACATTCTCATGTGCTGCGACACAACCTCTAAAAGTCCTCTCCCCCCTATAGCAACCCCAAACCCTAAACCCTGAACCCTACACCCTCAAAGGATCGGCATGCGAGGTGCCGTCTTCCGGTACGCCTTCACGGCCTTCATCAGCCCGAGCCCACTGTCCTCCGGCGAAGGTTCATGGGTGGTACAAAGTAGGGTTAAACGTACCCTAAACAAGCTTATGACCAGTTATACGTATAGTTATCCTACTTATGACCCCACCTAAAAGTGGCCATGAACCTCCAAGTAGGGGTTTAGAGCTTCTTGTTTTGCCTCCTGCCGGCTTGCGGCGTTGGGCTTTAGGGTATAGGGTTCAGGGTTTAGGGTTCACAGTAGGGTTCAGGTCCTACCTAGGAAAGTTCAACATCACCCATTGCAGGCTTTCGGGTTTTGGGCTCTGCAGTTGGAACTTTAACTTATCGGGCTTGAGTGTCTAGCTGCATGCTGGGGGAACAAGCGTCCGGAAGAGCAGAGGGGTCCTTGATGCGCTGCTTGGCATCCGTCAGCTTCTTCTCGGACTCCTTTCAAAGAAAGGCGCTGGCGCTCACTTCGCCCCAAAGCCTAAACCCTAAACCCTAGACCCTAAACCCTAGACCCTGGACCCTAGACCCGAGACCCTAAACTGACGACATCTCGCAACTGCGTCCGCCATCCTTCAGCGCCCTCTTCGCGAACCACCCTATGCGCTCAAAGATGGGGGCGGGTGGTCCCCGAAAGCCTGCCTCGTACTGCTTCTGCAGCGACTCCACAAACTTTTCGTGCTCCTTGCTGGCTGCCGAGATCTCCTGGCAGGGTGTTTGGGGTGTCGGATTCACAGACGGGCGCTTCCTGCCCCGCGTGTACTGTTCCTGATTCAAGGTGGCCCCTGTTTGCCGTTCAAGAGGTGGGATGAAGGGAACCGAGCCCCGAAAACGAGGGACATCTGGGCATCTTAGGCATGAGGGCCATAAGACATAGGCACCCCGGGCTGGTTTTCGGGGCTATTGGAGGTTTTCCCGGATGTTTGTGGGTTTTTTCCTCCGCCACACTTTGTCCCGTTTGCATTAGGGCTGTGTGCTCCGAAAAGCCGGGGGAATGGGCTTTGGGCCCAGTACCACATAGAAAGAGTTGATGTTGCAGATTTGGGCCTCGGACTAAACTGTGAAGAACTACTTGGGATACCTGTGCGCCCGTACATACCAGGTAATTCCCGACAAACTCCATATTGGTCCATACTCGGAATTAGGGGTCCCTACAGAATCCCAAATACACAGGCGCCTGATTTTCCTACAAACCGACTACTCTCACCGGCACCTCATCTTTCGCCTCGATCTCCTGGCAGGTGCAAAGCTTGCTTATTCGGGTCCTTATGGGAGGGGTTCAAGGGGGGTATGTAACCCAAGCTTCCCTAACTTAAGGGGGGTCTGTAACCCAAGCTTCCCTAACTTTAAGGCTCCCCTAAGGCTCCCTAAGGCTCCCCTAAGGCTCCCTAAGGTTCCCGAAGGCTCCCGAAGGTTCCCGAAGGTTCCCGAAGGCTCCCTAAGGTTCCCGAAGGTTCCCGAGGGTTCCCGAGGGTTCAAATTGGGTTGAGGGCTGAGGGCTACTTGAAGGTTCAGCAAGAGTGAAAAGCAGGGTTGTTTGGAGTGCCCCCCGCCAAATAGATTCAATGTAACTATAGCAGTCCTGCTTCTGATCCCCATAAGAAGAAAACTTAGCGTTGTTTTTGGGTTTTAGGTCTCTTCATGCTTTCTCTCTGCATGCTGTCTTAATGAATGGGGAATGAGGGCATGCGGTAACTTAACGTGCCTTATATCCCCTGTAGACAACCCTTGTTAAGCGACTAACGGGAGCCCAATTTTCGCTACTAAGAGCAAGTCAACCGAAACCCAAACCCTAAACCCCAAATACCCCAAAACCCTAAACCCTAAACGAGCGGTCCTTCTTCAAGGAAGCTGCTGGCATTGCCAGGAACTCCTCGATCTGTTTCTTCTTGTCCTCAGCGTGCTCTTTTGTTGCCCCTCGACTTGGGTCAGGGTTTAGGGTTTGGGGTCGATCGGTCGCAATGCCTTGACAATGACCGACCCCAAGCGACAATGGGTCACGCTAAGCTCTGGTTTGTCCCCTCTGAGGCCGTCAAGCCTTTTGTGTCAGATGGCCTCCAAACTAACCCTTAGAAAGCCCAGAAACTGCATGCCCTGCCCTGAGATAGAGATCCTAACACGATGAAAGGGAGCCACGTCCTTCATCCTAATCCCGAAAGCCCTAAACCCTGAACCCGAAACCCAAAACCCTAAACCCTCTTTGCAAACCAGGTTTAAACCCAAAAACCCTAAACCCTAAAAGCCCGTCATTTAAGGGTATTAAGGCCCCTGAGAAAGAATGCCAAAACACTGCATCGCAGAGCTCCAAGTTGGCGGGGCCGCACCTCGCGATCTGAAAGGCTCCCAGCTTGGAGGGTTCAGGGTTGCGGGTTTAGGTTTTAGGGCTTAGGGTTTCGGGTTTCGGGTTTAGGGCTTAAGGTTTCGATTTCAGTGGTAATGCTTCTCATGGAATCTTGGCTGCAGGTCAACCCGTCAGGGCTGGGAACTGAGGCCTTCGAGGCTGTGGCGTTCAGACCTGGAAGCTCAGAAAGCCTGCACACTCCGTCATAAACCCAAACCCCCCACCCCCCTAAACCCATCTGAAACCTCCCCCCGCAGGGGCCGCCCCCCCCGCCCCATCCCCACCTAACCCCTGAACCAAAACAACAAACCACCCCCAGCCCGGGCGCCTGGGTCCTAAGTTCTCCTTTGCGAACTTCGAGAGTTCTGTCAGCTCCCGGCCTCCCTCGTAGTCCTCTCTCAGGTTTCTTTTTTTCGGGATTTAGGATTTAGGGTTAGGGTTTAGGGGTTTAGTCGCTCACGCTCACACGGCCGGCAACGTTCGTAGGTCTCTTTTTCGTAGGTCTCTTTGGCATCGCTGCTACGCTACATGCCAGCCACCACACGGGCCAGGAACAAACCCACAGCAGTAAGACCCAATGCCCACCACATCCCTCGAAGCCCGATGTCCACATCGGATCACTACGGTCTAGGCACATCCAAGGAACATCTCAAACGACCCTTGAGTGGACGGCCTGCTCAAAGAGCAAACCACACAAAACAAGACCCATGCCCCCAATTTGGAAGACCGACAGCGACGTGATACTTCTAAAAGGGGCCGTGGCACCGGAGTTTAGGGGTTTAGGGTTGGGATGTTCCCCCTAAAGCTATCAGTCCTTTATAGGGATAATAGGAAAGGGGTACTATAGTCCCTATTAAAGACTGTTCCTTGGCTGCACTTAGGAGGGGTAGCTATAAATCAGATTTTTAGCTGCCTGATATACTGGGGAAACCCAATAAGCCCAAAAAGCCTAAGGATCTAAAGTTACAGCTTGGGCAGCACAAAGGCTCGTATAAGGGGAAGCATCCCAAGGCCTTCTGGGTTTGGGGGATTGCTGGGACCACCCTCAGACAGGCCACCCTGGACATGAGCATGACAGCACGTTCGGGTCACCACGCCCGCGACAGTCCCGAGGCACCAGATGCCCAAACCCTCCACCCGAAACCACAAACCCTAAAAACCCTTAACCCTAGACCCTAAACCCTAAGCCCTGAACCCCAAACCCTAAACCCTAAACCCTCACCCTAAACCCTAAACCCTAAACCCTAAACAAGTGTCAAGATGAGCGGTCCGCGGCTGCCCAGAAGGGCTTTAGGGTTTAGGTTTAGGGTTTAGGGTTCAGGGCTTCGGGCTTAGGGTTTAGGGTTTAGGGTTTAGACCCCTGAAACCCTGCAATCTTCGAGCCTGATCCCCGAGCCCGCAAGCGAAGAACTCCGAAGCCCCAGAGGCTTGGGGGGCTTTAGGGCTCCTAGCCTTTTGCAGCGTAGGGGTGGACCTCTTTCCACTGAAGATCACCCTCATCCTTGTTTTTTCGGATGTTCCCCCTTCTACTAGCGGTCCTTAACAGGGATTTGCAGTACCCCCCATGATAATCCCTATCAAGGACTGTGAGTAACTGTTAGTATAAGGGGGAACATCCCAAATTAATCCCCGAAAACCCTCAGCGCCCCCAGGGGCCTCGAGGTTCGCGGGGTCTCCGTACTTGATGGTCGGAAAGCCTTCCACGCCCACTTCGTCGCCTCGGCGGCTCGAAGGGGTGCTTTTTTCTGGCGCTGGAAGGGCCTCAAGTGGAGAGGTTGCTTGTGGGACGTTCCCCTTTCTACTAACATGTTAGTCCTAGATCGGGATCATAATGGGGGGGGGGGGGGTACTAGAATCCCTATTAAGGACAGCCTCGGGGGGGAACATCTTAAGGTTACTTGAAGGTTCATGGGTAGTTGTAAGCCAGGCTGGAAGTACCCTAAGAAAGGTCGTAAGTGCAGGTTACCCTACTGATACCCAAACTTAGAACTACCCATGAACCTCCAATAGGTGGAAAGGAATACTACATGAGACGAGGCCTCGCTGCCAAAAAATCATGTGCTAAGCTAGGGTTTGTCTTGTTTTTCAAGTTTTACAAGCGTCTAGCGTAACATGGGATACCGGTTCAAGCCCAAAAAGACTTATGCAAGTATGTCATGGTGTTGGTGGTCATGCATATACTTTAGTATGTTCTTGTTTGGTATGCTCAAGATTTGGTACAAACAAAACTTGTATACATGATACTGGATAGGCTGGCGAAAAACTGTCGCTCTGGAGCAAACGAACTAAACAACCCTAGAAACAACCTTACTGGAAACGATGGTCCAATCTCTCGACTACCACTTACTCGGGCTTCTCGGCTTCTAAGCACTCCGAGTTCGCACAGCCATGGCTGGTTCGGTGAGACAGGATGGACTCAAACCTTGCAGTACGAAAGTTCGGAATAATTACCAATAGCATTCCCTTGTGGTCCCTATATCACTATACCCTATTCTAAATTTTAAGGTCCCTATAGTACACTGTGCAACAGCCCGCTCCCAAGGCAAGCGCACATGGCCTTGCCCTCGCCGATGCAATCCTGGGCCCACTGGTGCGTAGGCTGAGGGCTCCAGGCCGTTGAGGTCTCAGGCTTCAGGGGCCCTGACTGAGTCAGGCCACGGTTGAAAATTAGTCAGGAATTTGTTTAAGGCTTCTGGAGCGCAAGGGTTGGAGGATGTTTTCTAGGAAACTAACCAACTACCCTTCTGTGCTGCCGGGCGGCAACATCTGCGACCAAGATCGAATCATGACTGGCATACTCCTTCATGAGCTTGTCCCAGTCCTTCTTCATGGCCTGCACAAGCCGCATGTGTTGACACCAAACAGCTAACATCAATATGCCAAGACCCTGTTCCAGATTCGCCCGTAACCCCCAACACCAGAAAGCCTCAAGCCCGAACAACTGCCTAAACCTCAACGGCCTTTCTTTGCTTTCCGTGTTATGAGGCTGTCGTACTTAGACGCACGATGCAGTCAACTGCGAGAGAACAGGAAGCCCTTCCAACAACTTAGGACTCAAAAAGGTGCCCTAACTTCGAGAACTGAGTGAAAAACTGAAGCTTTGCGTGACGAGCAAGGGAGGCAAGGGCATCAATAGGATTATCGACGGCCCGCCCATACAACGACGGAACTGGCAACGTGACACGGACGCGGTTGCTTGCCACATGATGTGTTCAGTTCGCTGCCTGAAGACACAAAGATGATGCAGGTCAACTTGTGCAGACTGTGCTGTTTGCTGCGCAAGCCGTGAAGAACAAGGAAAGGCCAAGTAACATCTTGCGCCGGAGGCGCCCCCCTTCGCAACCCGCCAGCCTTCTGTTCCACCTTGATTAATCCCCCGAGAGCCCTGCTCTCCCCCACCCACAAAGCCCTAAGGAGGCAGGCCTTACAGTGACCGCACCAGGGCGCGAAGAACTTCACGAAGACCTCAACACAAGGAAGGAAGGGGGGAAGGAAGGAAGGAAGGGGGAAGGGGGGGTGGCTTTGGGCTTTCAGGACTTTAGGGTTTCCTTAAGGCTGGGTTTGGAGGGCGCTCGACTTTTGGGCTTTTTGCTGAGCACGGTCTCCGACACGGTGCAAGGGCTCATCGGCCCGCCCCGAGCCCGCGGCAATTTTGCCGGGGCTGCGGGGCTTCAGAGTTCTAGGTTTTTAGGGTTTCTGAGGGTTTGTGGCTAAGGGTTTCATCGCTCACACTCGGGCAAGCAAGGTGAAGGCATTGAATGGTCCAAGCCCCCTGTCCTTTGAACCCATTGTACCACGAATCGACCGGCGCACTGGGAGATACCTCTTACTAGGACCTAGGAAGGGCTTCAGGGACCCCAAACCCCAAGTCCTAAACCCTTTTTGTGCTTAACCCTGAACCCTGAACCCCGAACCCCGAACCCTAAACCTTAAACTCTTTTTTTGACACCCTTTTGCATCCAGACTCCCGTGGGCACCCTTTTTTGAACCCGTGGGCACCCTAAACCCTAAACCCCAGGTTAGGGCATGGAACCTTCATGCGCGAACCCAGAAAAAATCGAGGCTTCGAACAATCGCGGTCCAAGGCGCGCTCTTGCCTGCCGTCTTCTCATCCCACGTCTCCTCTGCTTACGGGCTGTTTAGGGTTAGGGTTTGGGGCTTACTTAGGGTCTGGGTTTAGGGCTACTATGCGCAGCTGGGCGAATCCGCATCGCAGTGCGATTTCGGGAGCTTGTCGGTACATACAGGTGTCTCTCAGCAGGCGGCATGGGCATCTTCACCATCCAAACTCATCATCCAAACTCATAATCCAAACCCAAACCTCGCAGTTCATGCATTGTCTGCTGTCATCTGGCACTCGAGCTTGCGCTTTCTCAAGCTCGCGTGAGCTAGCCATGCTCCGCGGGGGCAACCGTAGAGTTCCCAACAAGCACCATGCGGCCCTATAGCTTAGTGGCTTGGTGGTTCTTCCTATATAAATATTATAACCCCTGGTTGTACAGGATCTAAGGTAAGAACCACGAGGCCAGCCTGGAACATCCTGGAACCTGGAACCCGCGGATCCCGGAAAGAGTCCTTCGTGAGCTCTATGGCGCCAGCTGCCGCGAACAGGGAGAGAAACAGGGCCGACTTCATCGTGGGGAGGAACAAAGGAACAGAGGACCGGAGGCTGGCTTTGAGACTGCGGCAGCGAAAAGCACCTGGATCCTCGCCCTGAACTTGGGGGGGGGGGGGTTCTTACTGGGGTTTGTTGAGGCTGTTGGGGTTCACAGGGTTCTCAGGGTTCCTACCAGTGTCTTGGGGTGGGGTTCCCACTGTAGGGTTCTCAGAGCCTCTGGAGACCCAAACCCCCCCCTCAAGGCTCTGGTCACCAGCCATGCCAACAAGACACCCAAGTCGCGCGAGTTTCTCGAAACCTACAGCCGATGAGAAGATCTTGCAGCAGCGACTGGCCGGTCACTTTTTGGTCGATGCGCAGGATGAACTGTACGGTTTGCTGCTGGACAGGTATTTGCGCCTCTGGAGTTCGCATCAATCTTTCACGGCTACGCTCTGTAGACACGACTCAAAGCAGGCGCAGCTGTGCCGGCTGAGAGTCGCATTCCCAGTATAAGATACTCATGGACGACATGACTTCAACAGAAGGGCGCTGATGTCACCCCCCTCCCCGGTAGCCGAACCCTCCACCCCTGACTTCCTGGGCCTTTTCGGGCTTCGGATCACGCGTTGGCGGAGCAAAAGTCGGCGGCAAATACCTGGGGCGACTGCAGCTCGAGGGAGGCCTCAAACCCCCCTCTCCTTTGGGCTCCAAAACCCAACACCCAACCGGGCTGCCCCTTCGAAGGGGCCCTGGTTGAACCAGAAACCACATGCCCATGGAGCCCCAACCGAGTTCAAGGGGGGCCTTTGGGGCAGAGTTTGGGGGCTGCGAGTCTCAGCGAGGGGGCAAGGGCTGCTTTGGGCGGGGGCTCCTTGACTGGCCACTGACCTGCAGCCCGTGCCTGCGCGCACGAAGCTGGTTCTGGTCTCCCACTGCCGCCCCTTAAACAAGATGCAAGGGGACCCAACCTGGCATCGGCTCTTTTTAAAGAGTTCTGCAGAGGTCGTAGAGGGGTTGAAAGGTACCCGACCCCCTAGCTCCCGTGCTCAGAACCAGCAACGAAGCTTTGACGGCTTGGCCCGCTCAGAAGGAAGCCACACCTTGAGCTGCTCAAGGGCAGTAGGCTAGGATGCTTCCCGTCTGCGGCAACAAGTGCCACCCTCGCTAATTCTAATTGCAGCACCCCCTTTGCAAGCCCTTCATGCGCAGCTATAAGTGGGGTTATAAGTGGGGTCTGATTTAGGGTACTTATAAGCCTACTTATGACTTCAAGTACCTGACAAGTCCAGGGAGGATGTTGGCATGCTCTGGGTTCAGGGCCTGGTGTCTCCCACTAAACACTGTCTCAAGGCTGGATGTGGCTTATTTGAAGCTGACCCAAGCAAACGTTAGGTTTACTTGCTCACAGCTCGCACAAGACTCTTCTCAGCTGGGCAGGACGTTTCTTCAGACGTGCGTTCTCCAGGCATTGCCTGCAAGAGGCCTACGGCGCACCGACATCACCATCCCATCCTTTGAGTTGCAGGCAAAGGCAAATCTCCCAAACCCTTTTTCCAAGAAAGATTCCAGATCCTCCAGTCCCCCTGAACCCGGGACTCTAAACTCTCAGCTGAACACAAGCTCACGAAGGAGCGGCTTTCACAGGTTTGAGTCCTTGCGGTCCCTTGCATCTGGGCCACGTTGAAGTCCTAAAACCCTCCCAGGCATCAGGCATCGCATCCTGCACCACGCCCTCTTCCTGCACTCCCTATCAGGTACGTAAGCCCAACAACATACAGAAATGCTTGGAAAACCTCCGCAAAACCTCTGCAACCCTGAACCCGGACCCTACTTCGAGGTTCATAGTACTTAATAACCCAGTTATATCAAAACTGCACCAATTATACCTGCACTTAATAACCCAACTATAACCCTACTCACAACCCAATGATACCGGTACTTAGAACCCAATCATAAGACCCTCAAAGTCCTCCGAGCGCGTGGCTAAAAGAGCTGCCGCAGCCGCACTTGGAGTCTGCGAGCTTGTTCTTGACCACGGAGAAGGATGCGCGGATCATCTCCTGGAGTAGGGTTTAGGGGTTTGGGGTTTGGGGTTTAGGGTTTAGGGTTTGGGGTTTGGGGTTTTAGGCTTTAGGGTTTAGGGTTTAGGATCATCTCCTGCCGTAGGGAGCGCGGGGAGGCTATGGAAAGAATCTGTACAACGGGGTGTGCTGCCTGTGATCCATGCATGTGGTATGTCCACCAGGTCCAAAGGAAATCTGCTTCCGGAACTTCCGGTGTCCCAAGTCGTCACACTCCGTCAATCCCCCGAAAACTGAGAACCATTGCAGCTGACGCCTGAAGGGTTTGGGGTTGGGCGCCCCGCTCCTCTGTGTAGTCGATCTCGCACTCCTCCAAGAACGTCATGGAAAGCTCGTCTACGATGAGCTTCGCCCCATTCTGGCCGTCATCCACATGGGCGGTGTCCGGTCAAGTTGTTTTTTTGCCACCCGCCAAGCCGACCAGCAGTACACTGCAGGGTAACCCTAAACCCTTTTGCAACTGGACTCCTAGCCCTAAACCCTAAACCCTAAACCCTGAAACAATTTCCTGGGGTGAGAGGAAAGGTTTCATGGCCCACGGGTTTTTGGGGGTTCCCTTCTATCCCTGAGATGCCCGTGCGGGCAGGCCTAAGACTTGTTCTCGGAGGGTTTCGTGCACGTACCCTCACGAAAAAGGAACTCTTACTAAAATGGAAGCCCAAAATATAAAGGCCCAGATTGCAGATCCGAACCCCGACCTGACGTCGCGTTGAGGGCTGTAAGGGCCACGTGTGCAGCTCGATCTGGGGAGGGCCCTCTCGTACCCATGAACCTTCAAGTAGCCCCTTATACGAACAGTCCTTAATAGGGACGATAATTGGGGGTACTAGAATCCCTATTAAGGAGCTGCTAGTATGAGGGGAACATCTTTCAGGGGTCAGGCTGCGTCCAGGGCCTGGTCGATCACAATGTCATCACCTGCCGGCTTCATGTCACCTGAGGAGTTGGCGGCGGTTTTCGTCACTGTGTCTAACAATATAAGGGGCCTGAATAATGAGAACAGGGTTTTGGGGGTTATCTTAGTATAAAGACAAAGGAGCCATAAGGGAATATTTTTAGTAATTATTCTGACCCCTATGGTATGTCTGGTGAGCTGCACTGTCCGAGCATCAACACCTCACAAGCCATGCGGGAAACCTTACTCCAGACTCCAGCCAACGCCACGCCCCAGTCCCAGCATGAGCTTTGTTCCTAGCTCTTCTCTTCGCGGGTGGGAGCTTACAGCGCTCAGGAGGTAGGGGAGAAAGTTTTGGTGAAGTCTTTGAAAAACCGGCCCATCCCCCCGGCAGCCTCTGAATAGGCCTTGGGCAAGGCAATGATAACCGCGCTCTTCTTAAATCTAAGAGGGGCCCCCGAAAGAAAATCACCACTGCACGAGGGTTCTTCTGTTGCAGAACAAGTCCGTACTATTTTGTTTAAGAACACGCCAAAAAGAATATGAAAGACTCTTCTATTTTTGAAGCGGGGGTTCTTAAGCAAAAAGACTCCCCGCCCAGGGCCCTGGCCAGGCTCCAAACCTGGGCTTTCGGGGGGAGGGCTCAAGGAGTTTCAGGGTTCTAGGGTTCTGGGGTTCTAGGGTTCTAGAATTCTAGACTTCTAGGGTTCTAGGGTTCTAGGGTTCTAGGGTTCTAGGGTTCTAGGGTTCTAGGGTTCTAGGGTTCTAGGATTCTGGGGTTCTAGTTCTAGGGATTTGAGATGGTTTTGCGTTGGAAGGAATAACGGGGGTGCTAGGGCGGAAAGGTTTGGTTCGGGGCTTTAGGGGCTTCTGCATTTTTAGGGTGTCGGGTTTCGGGGGGCTTCATGTACCCTATATGTCGGCAAGCGAACTGTGACCCAAAAAAGGAATGTTGACAAGAAATGGTACCCACGGTCGCCGCTTAGGCCCAGGGATCCTAAGGCATAACCCCTGACTTTGGGGCCCAAGAGCGAAGAAGTCACTTCAAGCAAAGCCCTCAGACAAGTGACGATCACCAAGATTGCCATTCTCAATCATAATATGATGACATTATCATTATTCTCAATCAACAGGGCGCGCAAATCGGGCGTAGCATGGCGTAGCAGTAAAAGAGACACTCAGACTATGAGATGCTGGGCGTCGCTGCACTCTCCCTTAGAAGCGACACAGGAAGTGCGCTTCTGTGGCTGAATTGAACACGGAGCGTTTATGTCAGCCGGCATTCGGATCTGCTCGTTTGATCAAACAATCAGGCGCGAAAAGAAGGGACCCCAAAAAATTGGTGTTCAGGTACCGGGTTTGAGCCTCCGAGCATCTGTCTGAGCGTCTGATTGTCTGAGTGTGTGAGCACCCAGTAACTCAGACAGTCAGGCACTCAGAGGCTCAGAAGCACTCAGACAGCGGCACTGAGACACCAGACACAGGAAGACTCCAAAAAACAGATGCTCAGACGGTCAGACTCTGATTTCTGATCGCTGAGCTGAGCGCCTGCTGCCCCCGACTGCGCCCCCGACTGCACCCCCCGACTGCAATCCCCACCTTCAATCGTGCTACGACCGCATCAGCATTATCATTCCTGTCTCTTGCGCATCAGCATTATCAGCCTCACCATTTTACCATGTCGCTGTCTGCATGTTTATCATGTTTATCACCTTTCTGTGCATTCCTTTGAAAGTTATCATTCTTATCATTGTTTCCATCTCTATCACGAAAACCGAAAGCTATGTGAGCCGAACATACGGAAAGAAGAGCTCACGGCCCCGTAGTTCCCCGCTCCCAAGGGTCCCAAGGTGGGTCCAAGGTGCGGAAGTCGTAGGAATATCCAGAGCCTGGGCTAGATAAGGACTTCGGAGGTTTTGGGCTGAACCTAAACCCTAACCCTAAATCTTGCAAAAATCCAACCCTAGAGAGCTGTTGATGCTTCATGCTCAGTGTCTCGAGATTCAGGGCTTTGGGGTTCAGGGCGTTGATGCTGCCAAGGGAGCAACATTCTCTAGGATCTGTATAGGCTTTAGGGTGCAAGGTTCATGACGGAAGTGGGGGGCTTTGGATTTTGCGAAATTCTATAACCCCTTCTAGCATCTATACTTGGGGGGAAGCCAGTATTCTCTAAGCCCGCTCTGAACCCCCCAGTTTATGTAGAAGTAGTTGGAAAATGCGGAAATCCAAGTTTTAACAGCTTAGACCCTCTAACTTTCCTTCAGCCGGATCCGCACCTACTGACAATCTGCGAAAAAATTGCTGTCGTCCCGTTGCTCTCTCATGCCCCTAAGCCCTAAACCCTAAACCCTAAACCCTTTTGCAACAGGTTTCGTACTTCGCCTGGCTCTCACTCGCAGGGCCTGTTCTCTGAACAAGGCAAGCAAGGAAGTATCTGAGACAACAACAAGAGAAAATGCATGTTCTAGCAGCGGCTACACTGAATTGGGAGGTCTCGCCGGCATCACGCGTCTTGGCCCTCAGCATCATCTTCGGGTTGCGTGGCTCGATCTCGCCACTCGTCTTGAGCTTGTCGTTCAGCACGTCTCCGTGATTTTGCCTCTCGTCTTCTCTGATAGTGCTGTTCTCGGAGGCGCTCAAGGGGCAGAGTCTCGCGTGAAGAAAAGGAACAGCACGTGTCGGCACGATCACTATGCCATCCCACTGGCTTGTCTGGCACCGAGGAAGGAGGTGGATTGCAATACTTGTCTGATTGCAGGGCCTCCTCCAGGTGGTATACCTCTGATTGCAGCTTCTGAATGAGAGCGTCCTGCTGTTTTGCCAATTCCTCAGCTCGCGCGAACTGCACTCTAACCTGGCTCATTACATCGTCCATGAGAGTTCGGCATTGAACTTCCGTGATGATGTTGGCCTCGGTTTGTGTGGATTGTGGAAGCGTCCTTTGCTCACTAACCATGATGGCACCGTACAGTCTGATCTCAGAAGATCCGGGAAGCAGAAAAGGCGCAACAGCATCATCTCGCACAGAGTACTCAGCGGTCAGAGCATACAGGGCGGAACTCAAATGATCCACCACCTGCTGTTCCTTCAGCCTGCGAGAAAGTCGGAGCGAGAATCCGAGGGAAGATGCTAGTTTCCTGCGATTGCTCTCCATGGAAGCTCACGGGTACTTGCACTCAATTGGGCTGCCCATTTGGACCTCGTAGCAAAATGGCTTGAGCCAAAATGGCTACGGCACCCTAAACCCTAAACCCTAAACCCTAAACCCTAAACCCTAAACCCTAAACCCTAAACCCTAAACCCTAAACCCTACACCCCAGCTTCGCAGTGGCAGGCAAGTCGCAGCCACCGCTGTTGACAGTCAGCCGAAGCACCTTTTCCACAAGGGGCCGCGGGAGCCGCTCCCACGGTTTAGGGTCTAGGGTCTAGGGTCTAGGGTTTAGGGTTTAGGGTTTAGGGTTTAGGGTTTAGGGTTTAGGGTTTAGGGTTTAGGGTCTAGGGTTTAGGGTTTAGGGTTTAGGGTGTTACTGTTAAAACCAAGGAAATCAACTAAAGCAAACCTCCCGAGAACCTGTCAGAATCTTCCAGCCGGGGGCTTCGGGAGGCCGAGGTCGAGTGCTTTTCCAGGCTGGTCACCCACGTGGCCAAACTGATCCCTGGACCCTTCTGTCTACTTGGAGGTTCATGGGTAGCTAGAAGTGGGGTCAGAAGTAGGGGCTTGCTATAATTAGAGCTGATGACCTGATTTAGGGTGCCTCTAACCCGAGTGATAACTACCCATGAACCTTCAAGTACCCTCCACCCTATCTTCCGAAGAACACCTAGCCCCCAAATCCTCGAACTCCCCAGCCCGAAAGCAACCATTTTTAACAAGGGACTCGGTTGCTGCCCTTTTCTGCCGAAAACAACCATAAACGCCGCAACCCCTTGCTTTTCTGTGCACTGACCCTGCGACGTTGGGCAGCCAGCTTGTGGGCTGACCTTCTGCGACATCCTGTTTGGGGCGATCTCGCCGCCGAAGTCTCCGAAGTTTACTGCTCAGGAGTTTCAACTTGGCGCTCGAGTTCAGGGAACTAGCCTAGCCCCTCAAAGTGGGCAAGACCCACCCTGAGCACTAATGGGCAGCTTTCAGTAGGGATGCAAGGTGCCCCAAATAAAATTCCAGCCACCTACAACTGGAGCTGCCCCCGGAGCCTCAAGCTAGGCTCTTGTGCGTTGTCTTTTTTACCAACCTCACAGACCTCGCAGTCCCCTTCTTGGGGCCTCTTATGGGGTTCAGAATTTCGGTTTCGCATCTGTGCGGACCAGGGGGTTGGTGAGTAAATGCGGGTGGGACCTCTGGCGTCTTGGGCGAGACGCGCCTGGCGTTCAAAACGACCGCAAATTTACCTCGAGGCTCACTGCCTGGAGATGTCATGGGATGCCAAGCTGACCCAAGAAGCTGACGGAGAATTGGGCGGACGGACGAAATCAAACCGGCCTAGCGCCAAACAAGCAGCTTACACATGCTCTCCAGGAAGCGTTAGGCTTTGGGAACATTGCAGATATTTCTCTCCGAAGCCTTCGCTTCAGTAGGGCCATTGTTACTGATCTACCGAAAGCAATTCTAAATGCCTTTGGTCTCTCAGCAAATGCTTTCCAGGTTCTGACACAAGCATCTTGAAGGGATTTCGGCTCTTCACACAGGGAGATGGCAATTAATGACCAATCCAGAAGCTAGACTCAGGGCCTAAGGTCAGGGCTTATGGCCGGGTCCCAGCTCGGCGTCCCGTGAAAGAAACGGGCCATCTGGGCCCCTCTTGGATCTGTAAGGCTGCCGCAAAGGGCTGGGGGCCGTATGGGTCTGACACTCACCGCACTTCTGCTGCACGTGCTCAATCACGGTCTCCTGCGATCTCTTGCGCAGAAGGCCCGCTGCAAGCAGTCGACGTCCCGAAAGCGGCTCAATTGTCCAAGGAAGTCGCTGCCTGGCCCGCGTGGCCTATCCCCCATGATTTTCATGCGAGGATGCCACGGGGCATTAGATCATAGACAGATATGTGGGCAAAAATAAGTCAGGTCCATACCGATAGCGGTAGGTAACTCGAAGCATGTGAGTCGGGTCGAGTCTATAAGGTTTCTTAGTTGTCCAGCAACCTGGGGGAATTCAAGGAAAACCTTTGGGATTTTATAGGGATTAGAATACCCCAAAAAGCTTAACCTACTCTACGACTAAGGTTTCCAAGCAGAAGCACGTATGCCAGATCCATTCGGTCACAGTGACCGGAGTTAGTAGAAGGAACTCGGCAGTCTGCCAGCAGGCAACCACTGCTGCGCGCATGTGGGCGTAATGTGGGGGGTATTCCAAACTCGGGGCCCCGTTTACAATTTGCACCACAGTACATCGGCAGCCCTAGCTCAGAACAAGCCCGGTATAGCTTGGTCCAATCTGCTTGCCATCCAAGTGGCCCCACCTGAAACCAGAACTGGAACGAACCCGCACGAGCGCCCGACTTGAACCCTTCAGGAAGGGCAACCGTGTGCTTTGCGGGCTTCGGGGTTCTTTTTGTTGAGGGTTCACAAGGCTTCATTGGGATAAGCTTGAAGCGCCAATTGCAACACTTCCACTGGCATCGAGGGGATCTAGGGTTCAATTTGGGATACTAACAGTCCTCAATAGGGATGATGGTACCCCCTACTAAAAGTCCCCATTAAGGACTGCTAGTATAAGGGGGAGCATCCCAAGTTCAATTCAATGAGTGACTGCAATGCTGTTGGGGTATCCTGCGGCTGCCCCTAGCAGACTTCCCAGTGTCAGCTGTCAAAGAATTGCCATGCGCTGCCCGATGCGTCCGCGGATCCCGCATTGCGCCACGTTTCGGGGGACTGAGTTTTTCTCGGTGCAAGCTTAGGGTTTTCAGCTGCGAACAGTAGCAAAGGTGACGGTGCGTCAGCTCCCCAAAACAAGTTGCGAATCTCGAGATCCAAGCTGGCGGATGGGACGGCGAATGCCCGTGAGCCCCGACTTTGCAGGAGACACACTGCACCCCTTCAAGACCTTAAAAGATGCCCGTGCCGAAGCCCGCAACCCCTCCCCCTCCAGAAAAGGATGACCCACATACAGACAAGCCAAGGGGTGGGTTGAATTAGGCTGATATTGGGCCACAGAACGCATGGTTTGGGGATTTCTTCTGGTGGGGGCCATCTAAATCCAATTTGGGGGGATCTTTGGGGCCAGATCTGCTACCTTGAACTCATTTCTATCACGAATATGCATAAGTTCAACCCCAACAAGCACCACAACTTGGATCGAGCAAAACCAACTTCGAAGGCAACCCTCTAAGCACCTTAAATTAAATACCCACAACATCGAATCGAAGCTTCAACGACCAAAAACTTCCTAAATCCCAACACCCGCTAAGCTTGAACTCTTGTTGAAGCATGGACTGTGGGGCACGGGCTAAATACCCCTGAACCCTGAACCCGGTAAGGAAACCCTTTTGAGCAATGGACTTTGAGGCTGCCGGCACACATGCAACTTCCCTTAAACCCTAAACCCTAAACCCTAGCCCAAAACCCTAAACCCTAAACCCCAAACCTTCCTAAACCCTAAGCACTAAACTCTTCCCTCCTGGGGCGAAGGGTGCTCAGGGCAACGCCAAGTCCGCCAGCGTTGGCGGCGTGAAGCGCTTCAGGAGGAGGGAGCTCAGGACCTCTTCGGAATTCCAAGGGCCCCAGCACCCCTTAACAAGGGCTTAGGGTTTAGGGGTTGGCGATATTTTGTATGTAGTTGTGCCTAAGAGTGTGCTTGCCAGAAAACCAAATGCCTCTAACGTCACCTTTGGCTGACCACATTTCATTCCATGCGCTTGCAGACTTCCGCACAATGCGATAACTCGGGAGAGACTGGTCAGTTCACAAAGTCATGGTCCCTTCTTGGGTACCCTAAGTGCTATGGGGGCTGCCTTCTAATAGCAACCCCAAAAGAGACCACAATATTGCGAAGTGACCATGTCGAGCCTAGTGCTGACGGTAAGCTTCCGTTGGGAACTTCCGGCCCGAAGTAGAAGCACCCATAAGCCGTCAAATGGCATCTAGAGCGCGCGGCTCGGACCCCTCACCCCCCCCGAGAACTCCCCTCAAAAAAACTTCTAAGAAACTCCAAAATCCCCACATGGAGGGCGGGGGTGGTTCTAGACGATTGGCCTCGTGTTTGTACCCTAGCCTGCAAAAAGCAGCTACTCTAACAGAGGTCGAATCTAGAAAACGACCCCCAGACACCCCAGACCCTGCCGCCCCTCAAGTTTAGGGTTTAGGGTTTGGAGGGTTTCGGGTTTTTTTTTTGGGTTTAGGGACCGCCGGAAGGGATCGCCATTCCTGCAAAGAGTACCTGTTAAGAATCCTTGCAGCTGGGACACGACGAAGAGTGAGGAGCCGAGCATGAGCACACAGGCGATCTGCGGCGTCATGACCCTGGCAAGGTGCCATTTGAGGTTTGCGTAGGTTCTTCTTTCTTTAGATTCAGATCGCGGGCTTCAGGGGCGGAGATCAGCGCTACTGTTCCATACGTTTTCACCCTAAACACGAACCTGCCACATTCCAGAGGTGCGAGTAGTTCAATGATGCACCGAAGCCCGCTCTCTCCTCTCCCAAGCGGACTCATTGTCTGTCAATCCGGGCCCGGGCGGAGTCAAGTTTAAATAGATCTCAGCGTTGGAGTTGAAGGGTTGAAGGGTTGAAGGGTTGAAGGGTTGAAGGGTTGAAGGGTTGAAGGGTTGAAGGGTTGAAGGGTTTAAGGGTTTAAGGGTTTAAGGGTTTAAGGGTTTAAGGGTTTAAGGGTTTAAAGGTTTAAGGGTTTAAAGGTATAAGGGTTTAAGGGGTTAAGGGTTAAGGCTTAAGGGTTTAAGGGTTGAAGGGAGGGCTGCAGCCGAAGAGCACATGTTGGCGCCAGAAGACCCCGGCGGCCACCGGCAGGGCGCAGATGTTGAAGAAGAAAGCCCACCTTGATAAGGGACCTTCGGGGTTCTTTGGGGGTTATTTAGGGGCTACTTAGGCATCTCGGGACTATACAAGGTGCACTATCCCTCCTTCTACCCCTTAACACCTTGCAGACACCACCGCAGAGCCCTTCGAAGGGCTTTTTACATCCCTACTTGGAGGTTCATGGTACTTAAAATAACCCAATTACAACTGCACGTATAACCCAAGTATAACCACATTGGGGCACTGAAGGGGCTTACAATTGGGTTAGAAGTTCTGGTATAATTGGGTTATCTGCACCATGAACCTGCAAGTACTCAAGAAAAACCCATGCTTCGCAGCAGGCATGCCATCGACCCTCTCTTACTCTTTTTACGTGGGCAAGCCCTTTGTGCTGACACACTGCTTGGGGAAG